ATATGCCTCAGAATTGCCCCGCCAAGATACGGGGCCGATTTTCTTATTGAAATGAATTGAATGACAATGAGCTAATCGGCCACGCCATGGCTGCAAGATCTCTGTTGCACATCATATGACATGCCTTCCGGATTGCCCCGCCAAGATGCGGGCGATTATCTTATTGATGCTCAACTCAGATCTTTCCTCATACCTCATTGTTTAGCTCAGAATGTAAGGCGAAAAATTGCAAGGAGAAGCTTCTTACATAGATTCTATCTGGACAGAATCCCCTCTCAACGACAATTTGAACAAGGTACTTCCTGATTATAATGCTCAAGCTCTTGAAATATTAAATTGATAAATTTTCATGCACGTTGAATGTTTCAGAGACATAATTATCTTAGATATGGCACACAAGTACAAACAGAATATGCAGCTGTAAGAACAAACTAGAAATAATAAATAATGCAATCGATAAAGTGAAGCCAAACCAAAACAGGAACATGAACCCGGCTCTAAACCTGCCAAAGAACAAACTGAGTTAGAGCCAGAGCCAGAGTAAGATTCAAACCCAAACTAAACAAAAACCACAAAAAAAGAAAAATAAAAAAAAAAAAAAAGAAAAAAAAAAAGCAAGACTAGAAGAACCAGAACATTAACAATATCCCAATCCAATAAAAAACGAGTTAAAGCTGGAACCAAAATAAAACCCGAACCAGAACCACCGAGCTAGAGCTAGAGTCCCGAGCCCAAACAAGAATTGCAGTAGAGCATATAAAGACACGAACTGGAATTAGAAATTGAACTCGAACATAAAGAAGAGACTTGATCTGGGCCGGATTTAGAGCCGAAGAGTAGAACATGTAATAGACCTAATCTAAGACCACGCAAGAACTGGAACTAGACCGAGAGTTGACTCAGAACCACCTAAGCCCAAGGTAAAGTTAGACCCAAAACCAAAACACGAATCAGATCCAATCCAGGCCCAAGCTATCGCAGAAACTAGATTCAAACCCAACTCAGAATCACCTGAGCCGAAGTTGAACCTGAACCAAGGCCATGCTACACTAGGAACTAACCTGAACATGACCGGAATCACCCGAGCCATAGCCGAAGGCAGAACCAAAGACGAACTTGAACCTGATCCATTCAAGAACTGCACCAAAGCCATGCTACACTAGGAACTAACCTGAACAGGACCGGAATCACCCGAGCCATAGCCGAAGCCAGAACCAAAGACGAACTTGAACCTGATCCATTCAAGAACTGCACCAAAGCTAGAGCCTAACCAGATCCAAGCCATGCTAAAGCTATGAGAGCCACACCAAAGTTAAAGCCAAATCCGACCGAGCCGGAAATGAACCCAATCCCAGCCCAACCCAGAATCACCTGAGTCAGCGCCTGGACCGAACAAACACTTAGAATCACCTGAGCAAGAGTAAGATCTTTAACCGATCCCAAACTAGAACCCAATCCAGACAAGAGCTAGACCTAGAAACCAAAACAAGAACTGGACCCGATCTCAGCCCGAGCTAGACTGGAGCCAGCTAGAATCACCTGAGCCGTAGTCACAGCCGAGCTCGAACCGAAACCCAAACCAAACCATAAACAATTTGCAGATTAATTGCACTTTTAAATCGATCGGACCTTAGCTTCTAAGAGTTGGCAACAGTTTGAAAAGAAAAAAACAGCCGTGTGCTTGTGCAGGAAAGAGAAAAAAAAAAAGTAACGAGGGAGAAATAGAATTACGTTGACATGATGCAAAGTGATGGGACTTCGAGCCCAAAGCTGCCAGGGTCTTATCGATTTTAAAAGATAAAAAATTAGCATGTGTAAATTGGAAAGCAGAAAGGGTCCGTAGAAAAACTGAATATCGAAGGACGTGAAGTGCCAAGAATGGCTGAAAGAATGAGTAAAATCATTTTTTTTTTATTGAAAGAAAGAAAGTCTTCAAAGAGTAGGGTTTTCTTGAGACGATAAAATTTTTATTCTTACTGCAACCAAATACATTAAGTTTTAGATACCCTAATTTTTCATGAAAACATCCCCTTACACAGTTGTAGCGAAGGGGAAAATCAAATTGAAGCATAAAATCAAATTTATGTGTATACGAAAGCAGTCAATCCAAGCTAATGTACGATCTAAATGTCTACCTGTGGATTGGAAACTCTCGATTAGTTTGAAGCACTCGCAAATCTCAATCGAATCCTTGATTCAAGGAAAACTGCATACCGATGGGAATGGTCGTCCGCACCGTCGCTATTTGCCATCCGCTAACTATTGCTGCAGCCAAAATCCAAAACCTGTAACCACGCGCTCTTTATTGAGATTCAACCTCCTGAGATTTCCAGAACCGCAATGCCGGGGCGGAGGCGGAACCCTAGTCTTCATTCTCCTTCTGCAGGACTACAAGAATGCGATTTGTATACAAGGAAATAGTGTAATGAGAGGCTACCCTGTTTTTATATGGCCAATTGCAGTGTATCTGAGTAATGCCAATTTCAAATAACTTAGCATATATATTTGAGTTTAGAATCCTGTGGCCGTTTGAACAAAAATTTAACATGATTAAACTTAAATTTACTATATATAATTAAACTTACCATATATTACTTGAGGTTGAGGATTTAAAATATTATTTTATTAAACTTGCCATATATTGTTCATATGTCCGTTACATATGGTTAAACTTACCATATATTATTCATATGTCCGTTGAAATTTGAAATTAGAATCGCATGAACGGAGGGTTGCTCAATAATCCTTTAATTTTAATATTTTTCATATTTCAAAAGATTAGTAATGCAGACACAGTTTAGTATTAATACCAATTAAAATTAATGTTTGAAAAACAAGAAAAGTCTCAAATTAAACATTAAATAAAAACAAAATTCTATGTTCTTTTTGGATTTGTAACAGTAGTTTTGATTTTAGAAATATTAGTATTATATTGGGATGTAGTAGGAATAAAGTTAAAACGACTAAAATAATCTTATTAGTATGTGTGACATAAAAGGATTTTGTGGGATTTCTACTCTTTCCACAAAATTTTATGTCTAAAAATATCAAATCAAACATTTATTTTTTATTTTTTATATTATACTAAAAATTAATTTTACATTCAAAACGTCACATCAATTCTTATTTATATCACATCATATAACTATTCAAATTCAAAATTTTTACTATTCAAATCTCAATCCAAAATCCAAATCCTCAAACAAACATACCCTTAGGATGATGTTTGAATGTAAAATTAAAGTTTATTGTAATATATTAAATAAGAAATGAATATTTGATTTTATATTTTTAGAAATGAAAAATTAAAATAGTAAAATCATCTCAAAAATTGTGTAAGTAAACACGTCCTCGACCCACAAGACTAGACCAGAGAAATCAATAGGGATCACAGAAAATTAATTATAGACTATAAATTCAAATAAGCTACAAGCGAGATACTTGTAAAATAAGTAATACCCAAAATAAAAGTATTTTTCAAATAATTATCAAAATAGAAGTATTTTTTATTGTTGTTTGAAAATGATTTGAAATAGAGTACCGATTTTATTTATTTTTGTTTAAATAATATGTTAATATGATATTTTATAAATAATATTAAAAGTTGTATCAAATGAATAACATTAATTAAAAAATAAGAAGAAAAAAATTAAAGGAAAATTAATGAAATTCTAAAAAAATTGAGATTAAGCATTCAAATAGTAACTTAGAGAGTCCCCACAGATATGCTATCATATCATATATACATCTAGGGTGTGTTTGTTCGGAGGATTGGATTTAAATTTTAACTATTTATCTAATTTTTTCTCCCCAAAAATATTAAATCAAACATCTACTTTTTATTTTTTATATAATACTATTTTACATTCAAAATATCACATCAATACCTATTTATTTCTAACTTTTACTGTTCAAATCCCAATCCAAAATTCAAACCCCCAAACAAACACAACCCTAATATATTTGACAAGGTATTTTAATTCATGATTCTGAAGTTTTATTTTATTTTTTAAATAATAGGTTTGGATAATTAATTAAAATTTGTTAGGATAACAAATAATTTAACAAAATTCAGATTTATTGAAATAATAAATAATGAATAAAAATAGGATTTCGTACATTTGTATATACTTACTTTTAATTTTATAAATTGTTCAGTTTTAAAATTTTTTCATATATATATTTTTTAATGACATAGCTCGCGTAAACCCATAAGCGTCGGGGTTTGAACTAATAACTAGTCTACCCCCGCCCGACCACGGATAAATATTGAAATTACCTACATCGAATTCTACGGGATCAAATTCCACACTCACGCATGAATCTTAAATAATGAAAGAATTCTAAGTAATAAAATTATGCATTCGACGAATTCCACAGGATTGAATCCGAAATAATGAAATTATCTACACGCTCACGCATGTCCTAACCTCTAACACGAGCAGATATTGTTGGACTTGCACTTAAGCTACACATAGATAGATATACATGTGTGTCAGTGTAATATATATACACATATATGTGTGATGATGTAATGATGCTGGGATCCCATCCCATTTTGAATGTGTATATATAAGAGAAAAACCTCACATCAACTGCCCTATAAAGAAAGGGTTTCCCATCCTTTAAACCTCAAACAGTAAATGTATATATGTCAAAATTTTGCATTGTTTTCTTCTTATCTTTTAAATGTAGCTTAGAACAAAACAAACCCATTTCTTATTGATCATTGAGGAAGATTTATAAATCAAAGCAACAGATATATATAATTAAATAACAGTTCTTCATTATTCAAGATGCAGCATCGTAGTACATGACATGAAACCGAAACCAAAAATAAAAGACAACACTAATTTTGGAATAGGAAACCCTAATGGCTGAAACAACAGTACCACAATAATGCCGCATGCTAGATGCTTCTAAGCAACAAAACTCCATTTTCTGAACCCTTCAAATAATCAAAAGCAGATATATATGTATATATCTGTAGCTAGGACTGGCTATGGCGGACAGAGCTGCTCATAGAGCTCCTTGTAAGCAAGATAGATGAGACATTCCTTTTTCCCAGTCCGATGATTCTTCGTATGCTTGCAGAAGTACTTCAACTGGGCAAGCTTGCAGCACCCGATCATCTGCCCCAGCAGCAGGAACAGCCAATTGATGGTTTTCTTCTTCGCCGCAGCCGTAGGCTTCAGGCAGTTCTTGTGGTGGCACCTCAAGCAGTCCGGCAGAACCGGGTTCTTCCACTCCGCCGGCGCCCTGTTGTGCATCCCGCGTTCCCGACGCTTAACAAAGTTCTTCAACTCCGCAGTTTTCTGCACCAAATCATAACCTACCTCGAACTTCGCGTTGCAATTCTCGCACTGCAATTCACCCTTGATTGTAGTGATCCCTCTCGCCTCAAGGTACCTGTAGCTGTGTATCTTCGCCCTCTTCGTCGTCGCCCATGGGTACGGCGGCGCGATCGGCTCTCTCTCCGGCGGCCCGCGCACTCGGTCTCTCGGCGCCCCCTGCGGCCGTCTCGGCCTTGCAGCAGCGTTGCCTGCCTCCTCCTGTCGAGGAATGGCGGCTGAATCTCCTGTCCGCCAGAGCGTGAGCCTCAGCAAGTCGTTGACATCATTATTAGGGTCCTCCATTGTTAGGTTAATTTTGTGTGCAGTGTGGGGAAGGAGGGCACTAAACCCTAATTTATATACTGGTTTGGAAATGGGTGGGAGCCGAGATGCCTTATTGCTAAGATAATTAATTTCTTAATTAATTTTTTGGTTGTATAATTAATATATAATAATTAATACGTGGGTGATTCTGTTAGAGAAATTACCCCGCAAATTGGGGCATAGACAAAGTCTCTCTCCTTGTACAGAATAATAATAAAAAAAGATTGGTAACATATGAGACAATGGTAAATATTACTACTATTTCAGTGGATAAAGTTATGTTTATGGTAGTACAGTTCTGTTATAAAAGTGGGACAGGTCAAAATATTTATTAAATACATATTTTTGCGGTAAGAGTAAGAGAAGGGGGTTGCGATTTGGTCGGTTAATTACCAAGTACAGGGCTTCTATTTTTAGAAAAATATTTTGAAACTTTTCAAACGAAAATTGATCGAGAACATTTCAACAACAATAATAATAATAATTGTTATTTAATACAAATTATAAAATAACACATATTTAATTACAATAAGAACGTTCTGGAATTATTTTCGACATTTTTGGTTGATTAAACACGGTAATTTATATACTCATGCCCTCCATAAGTGTGTTTACTTGTGAGATTTGTTTTTTCATTTTATTATTTCAATTTTTTTTCTTCAAAAACATCAGATTAAAAATCTATTTTTATTTATTATATTACACTAAAATTAAATTTTGTATTCAAAACATCACATCAATGCATATTTATATCACATCAAACAACTATTTCAATTCAGAATTTTACTATTCAAAACCAAAACGAAAAACCAAAATCTCACAAATAAACATATCATATAATGTGATACCAAATAATTAGTTTTAGATCAAATATTTCGATTCGATTATATATATAGTTAACACAAATTCGACGCGATAATAATATTGAAGTCTTCAATTGGAATCTAATACGACAGCAGTGCGCTGAAATTCTAATTTCAATTTGATCCGGTCTCATTTATTATATATATATATATAATAATTTTAACTAACAGTTAACTATGTATTAATTTAAATTAAAATTCAATCTTAAATAATTCAATATAATTCAACATTTGATCCGGTCTCATTACATTAGAATCGACAAAAATCAACATCACACAACAATCACACGAAAAATTATTGGATTTATATTCGACACTAAAAATAAATCAATCCACACTAATCTGATAATAAATCAATCCACACTAATCTGATAACAAACTGGTCGGTTAACCCATTTAACTTTAAAAATTCATTGCCAAGTCTATTCTATATTAGGCAAAGAAATTTAGGATTTGTTCAGTTATCATTTTCACTGCCCGGTCGACACAATGATGTCAATTTTTATATATATATTTTTTCAAAATATTACTCCATCAGTCCAAATTAATATGAGTCTGTAGATACGGAATCTTACGGAATCTATGTAAAGTATAATCAGTAAGCAATTAAAAAATGTATTAGTAAAAACAGTAAAAATAATTATAGATTAAGATTAAGATAACTGAATAGTTTAATTAAAATTAAAAAAATTTAAATTTAAATTTTAAAATATGATTAAAGTGTATAATTAATTTTTCAAATAAGTGGGACTGAGAGAGAGTACATATATGGAACCTATTCAAAATTCATTCAAAATTTTATATTTTTATCTCTATCTTCAATAAATAATCTATCTATTTATTTATAAAATTAATTTATATTAATTATAAATATATATTTTAGATTTTTTTTATTATATAAAATTTTATTCCTTATTAAATAATATCAATATTGTATATATTTTTATTATATAGTAATTAAAATTTTAAATAAAAATAATTATTTAACCTAATATAAATAAATTTAATATAATACTATTTTAAATGCAAAATTAATTTTTTTAGTTTAAAGGTAAATTTTTTTAAATAAATACATTTGATTTGATTATAATTAAACACACCTATATTTTTTTGAAAAAAAAAATGTAATTTAAATATAAAACTTTAAAAACATTTTGCAAAATAAATACACCAAATTTTTTTCTTAAATAAAGTGTGTTGAACCTAAGGGTGTGTTTGTTTTAAAGAATTTTTTTGATGTCTAATATAAAAACTTTTGTAAGTAACATAAAAATAAGGTAAACTGTGTTTTTAAATTCCGTAACTGACCCCTTATCATTTTAGTCCCGTAAGTGGAGCCTGTCGCAAACTAGTCCCATAAGTGAAAAATTTTCGCTGATTTAGTTCTCCGGCGCCGGAGACGCCCGCATGGCTCGCCGAAGGTGACGTGTCTGCCAGGTGTTCTGCCAGGTCAGCGACACCTGGCGGACACATCGATTTATTTTTTAATTTTTTTTAATTGGACCAAATAAAAAAAATACAAATAAAATTAAAAATAAATTTAAAAAAAATTTTAAAAAATTAAAAATGAAATAAAAAAATAAAAAATCCATGTGTCTGCCAAGTGTCGCTGACCTAGCGGGACACCTGGCGGACACGTCACCTCCGGCGAGCCACGTGGGCATCTCCGGCGCCGGAGGACTAAAACAACGAAAATTTTTCACTTATAGAACTAGTTTGCGACAGACTCCAGTTACGGGACTAAAATGATAAGGGTCCAGTTACTGAATTAAAAAAACAACTTACCCTAAAAATAATGAGTGTGTATAGTTTATTATTTTTTTTTCTTTTTTTTTTTGAAAAATGTGTTAAAAATTCACTCAATTTTTTTTTATAATTTTTACAGTTTCAATAAAAAAATTTATACAAAAATTTCTTATATACTTTATGTAATATTTTCTAAAAATATTGGTAATAAATAGTTATAAAATTTCAAAATTGTATAGGCAAATGTAGACTTATATTTGAATAGATGATGACCAAGCTTCCTTCCATTTTCATGAATGAGAAACCGATGTTTAACAATCTTCTTCTTCTTTGCTTTCTCTACTTTCCTTTATAAGAACATGTTAATCTATCCTTTCTTTCTTACTTCTTACTTCTTATTAGGGGGTGTGTTTGTTTGGGGATTTTTCACCGAATACATTATTCATCTCATTTTTTCTCTTAAAAAATATTAAATCAAACACCTATTTTTTATTTTTTTATACTCCATCGGTCCAAGCAAAAAGTATACATTTACTTTTGGCGCGGTAGGTAAAAGTAGTGTAATGATATTTTTGCCCTTGTTTTTTGGTATAAAAGTATTAATGTGATATAAAGTAAGAGTATTTGTGGAAAAAAGTGGGGTATTTAATGAAATAGGTTAGATGGAGGAAGTATTATACTAAAAATTAATTTTACATTCAAAGCATCACATCAACACCTATTTATATCACATCATACAACTATTCAAATTCAAAATTTTTACTATTCATATCCCAACTCAAAATCCAACCCCAGACAAACACACCCTAAATATACTCATACATTATTTAAGTATTATTTTGTTCAAATAAAGACTTTCTTTAGATAAAAAGATTTTTATTATATTTTTTGAATTTTGAAAATTTTTAAAATAATAATATTTTGTAAAAAAATAATTAATAAAATATTTTTAAAAATAACAAACAAAAAAAACTGTCATGAAAATTTTAGAACAGCTGTCCTAACGGTCACATCAATGCGTGCTCAAGACGCATGCGCTAACGGTAATATTAATGCGTGTTCAAAACGCATGCCTGAGTGTATAAGTATCTTTGCGTGCATCGTCGAAGCTAGAGCCGAGAGGGTATGGAGGACGCTGTATAATTCGGATGGGAAGCTGCAGTGATTCACTGGAAGCCTAGAGGCATGTTTAACAGGTTAGTAACGATGCATCATTTTTATTGCTCGATGCCATTTCGCATGTTCTTCCTCGAAACACTAATTTCAACTGTGATTCCGAGTTTCCGTTCCCATGTTCTTCCTCGAAACACTTTCACTCACGGAGATTCGCCAGAGTGTATGTTCTCATTCGATCGAGAAGAAGTGTGAGAAGTTTTTGTCACTCAATCTCAATTTAAAGGCTGCAAGTAATTTTTCATTACGTTTTCGATCTCAATCTTTCAAGGCCGTAAACAATTTTGTAAACAATTTTGAGATATTTCAAATTGGATCAACAGGACTTTCTTGGAAGGTTAGGGTTTGGTAGGATTAGATTAATTTGGATATTTCAATTTCAAGCTAAGGGGTGGCTCATGAATTTTTAAGATATTTCAATGTCAAGAAGTAAGTTGGATCAACAGGACTTTCTTGGAGGGTTAGGGTTTGGTAGGATTAGATTAATTTGGATATTTCAATTTCAAGCTAAGGAGTGGCTCAGGAATTTTTAAGATATTTCAATTCAAGTAGTGATTTGGATATTCAAGCTAAGGGGTTTTCTTTATGCATTATACATGTGTGATGATTTTTTATTTAATGTTTTTCTAAGCGGGTAAGCACTCTACCCTGGTCTTTTATTGCTTATTAGGCAAACAAAATTTTGATGAGAGGATTGAGGAAGATCAATTCTTAGACCTCGTGACTGTAAAAACTAAGGTCCAGCCAGGATGCAAGGAACCTTACAGGTAATTTATAAATCTCTTATGCATATGCAAATAGATATTTGACTGCATATGCTCACATTTTCTTTCCATGTACCATATATTCGCTGTTCAGAAGTTAGACACTTCACAAATGGCTAGGATTGACCATCTTATGTTTTATTTCGTGTTGCAGTGTAGGTTCCTACTCATTTTTATTTTGAATAAATATATGCAGCATACATAAAGCTGTTCTTAAATCTAAAGGCTCAATAAATGAATTGCACAGGTTTGTTGACTCTGGCCTTTTGGTAAACTTTAATATGTGAATGGCCCATGATTCATGGTCATGCTTTTAGCTTTTCTTTCTTCTCGTTCTCTCCTGATCCATCATAGCTATTTCATTTTGTGTTTGTATTAGTTTATATTGTTAATTCTCATGAATTTGATTTGCAGATTAAGACAGAAGAGATGG